TCTCTGCCTACACAAATCCAACTTTGCACCAAAACCCCTCTCCTGACTGCTGCACAACAGAGGGCTTTTCCTTTCTGCTGCATCTTCATTTCATACCCATCTCCCTGGGATGCAAAAAGACTGACTATCGAAGACGTTTTTTATTCATTCAACAAATATTTATTGAGTGCCTCTGAGACCCACAATAGGATTTGATCTGCTCAGTGTGGTCAGGGAGGTTGGGATTGCCTTCTCTGAGAAAGCAAATCTGGAGTTGAGTTGAGAAAGATGGGTAATGTTTTAGGCAAAAAGTGGGTGGAAGGGTTTTCCAGGCACAGGGAGTAGCATGCACAAAGGCTCAATGGTGGGGCCTGGGGAGGACAGAATGCAGAGTGAGCATGAGCATGGGACAAGGAAAACAGATTCTGGGTGGACAGTGATCAAACGATTCGGGTATGGTGGGCCCGATTAAAGAGTCTTGCCTGGATCGAAGGGCCATGGCAATCCACCGAGGCAGGACAGCACATGAGCAGGTTCATACCACATCTATAGAGTTTAAAATAGGAGGAACAGAGTATCCTAAAGGACTTCAAGGTGATAGAAATGGTGACTGGAACTAGAGGTAGCTGAGGGGATGAAGAAGAGTAGGACACGCTCAAAAGGTATGTAGGAGGTAAAGTGAACAGGACTTGACAGAGAAGTAGAGTGGGCAGGTTAGGTGGCTAAGTCACTCATATGCTAGCAGGTAAGGATTCTGAATTCAGACATCCTGAGTTCAACTCCTACCTCCAGTTTTTATCAGTCTTTTTGTCTTGGATAAATTAACAACTTTCCCTCACTGTGCCTCAGTTTCCTGAGATAATAAAAGGATCAGTGTAGAAGGTTATTTTGAGGATCCAATTGATCTGCATGATGTGCTTAGAGCAATGCCTGGCACATAGTAGCCACCTGATACCTATTCGCTTATTTGTAATTCTTGGCTAAGGGCTCCGAAATAGCAGAGGTCATGCCTTTTCTCTGTTCCTTGAAGCATTAGGCACATAACAGGTGCTCAATGAATAATTTATTCAGTTTAGATCAGGATACATTTTCTTTTACCCTCAATATTCTATAAGGTTCTGTACTGTGCCAAGCTACCTGTTAGGAACTGGGATGCCAAGATGGAAGCAGACACACTAGAAACTCACTCCCTGCTCGCCAGAAACTCACAGCCTCAGGGATGACACTGAAGATATAAACAAATGAAAAATGAGTGCACAGATTCTGAAGCAAGGTGTGGCAGTGAGGACTATAGAATGGAGTCAAGGGAGACATCGCAACAGTTGATGTGTGAGAAAGGTTTTGAAGGAAGAAGAGGAGTGTCACTGTGAGCAGTGCAAAGGGATGGAGGTATGGGGGTGGCACGGGTTGTTGAATAGTACTGGAGCATGCGGCTGGAAGGGGTTCTGTGTCAGGGGAGGAGGCCAGCGTCACAGTAGGAGCCAGGCAGTGAAGGGCCCTGTGGGTCACGGGAGGATATTGTCATGAAGTGAAGGTAGGTCTTATCTGTGGAATGACATGATAAGCTTGGTTCTCAGATCCATCAGATCCTTCCCTGTGGTGGGAAGCATGAATGATTGCTTGGAGGGGCCAGGACTGGAGGCAGGGGATCAATCTGAGGTTATCTCAACAGTCCAGGCATTAGACAGTCCCTGAGGCTTATATTAGAGAGACTGGCAGAGAGGAGAGCTATAGGAAGTAAAAATCAACAGGACCTAATTGTTTAGCAGTGGAGATTTACCCAAATGGAACTGTGTAAGCATAATTTAGTAGGGACCTGCATTTGTTTGGTAGAGTTGCTATAACAAAGTACCACTGACTGGGAATCTTAAATAACAGAAATGTATTGTCTCAGGTTCCTCAGGCTAGATCCGAAGTCATGGTGTCAGCACAGTTGGTTCCTTGTTAGGGTTATGGGGAAGAAGCATGTTCCATTCCTCTCTTCTATCTTCTGGTGGTTTGCTGAAAATCTTTGGTGTTCTTTGGCTTGTAGACACAGCACCCCAATCTCAGCCTTCACATTCATACGGTGTTCTCCCAGTGTGTTTGCCTCTGTCCAAATTAACCTGTTTTTATAAGGACACCAGTCATGTTGGTATAGGGGCCCACCCTATTTTGGTCTGACCTCATTTTAGCTAACGTCACCTGCAATAACTCTATCTCCAGGGATGCAGATACCCACTCTGGGGTCTCCTAGCACATGTGTGCAATATGTCAGTGGAGCTGTGCTCCTGCCGTGTGATAAGGGAAAATCTATCGTGGTTTCATCTATAGTGGTTGCCTGGGAGAATAATAACAACTGTTTATTTCTGGAGTGGGTACACTGAGTTTTCAACTCTGGAGTCTTTCTGCAGATGTATGTGAAATGCCAAATGAAACTGGCCCCTGCCTGGCTTTTTTTATTCGGTGGTGGTATGACAAGAAAAATAATACTTGCTCCACATTTGTCTATGGTGGCTGCCAGGGAAACAATAACAACTTCCAATCCGAAGCCAACTGCCTGAACACCTGCAAGAATAAACGTGAGTCCTAGGGGCCCCGGTCTTTCATCCTCTCCAGTCTCATGCTGGGAGGTCTGGGTGTTGACTGGTCCTTTCCAGGACAGCTACATCTTTGGCAGACCTGCTGCTGACAGAACCAGCTCTGATCAAGAGGTGAGAATGCACCTGGCAAAGCGGTAGACAAAGCTACTTTCTGGGAACTGAGGATGAGAAGGGATGTAGAAGTAATCAAGGCTGGCAAGTATGAGGGGAGTTAGGAGGGCTGGAGGAAGGGTGTAGAAGTGGTGAAGTCTCAGAGATGAATTGCAGAAGAGGCACAGGATGTTAAACCTAGACACGCTGACCAACCAACCCTTCCAAGCCATCAATGTCTCAACATAGCTATTTGCCAGCAAGTCACTCCTATTTGTTTTTCCTTGAAGGAGATGGAGAGATCCCCAAAGCAAACCCACTTCTTTTTAGTGTTTTTTCTGTGCAAAGATGTATAAGCATAACTTCAAGCTCCAAAGATAAGCTGAACCCAAGATACTCACCTGTTTTTGTCCTGCGTTCTCTACAGGCTTTCCCTGATTGGATAAGGATGGGCTGGAAGAACTACCAGAGTGTGGCTCATGCTCTGAGGACTGTTCGTGTACTTGACTGATGCTCCATATTGACTTCCAGTTTCACTCGCAGCATTCCAAGATCTTAGCCCTTCGCCAAACAGAACCCTTGCATCTCCCTCCTTTTCCTCCATCTTTGGCTCTTTTGATGCACAATATCCTTCCGTTTTGATTTCATCTTTATGTCCCCATTATCTCCAACTTCTAGAGCTCCCAGTTTATACCTGTGTCACTCTCAATTGTTTCCAATAAAGAACATGATGTAATCCTGCGCCTCTGAGGCTGAGTAATTGACATCTTTTTGGCACATTACAACTTTGCAGGGTAAGGGATCATTGAGGCTTCTGGTGACATCATTCAAGGGAGTGAAGACAATCAGAACTTTGAGAGTTGAGAGCTCCAGGGTTATTGTTATCTTCCTCTGCTTCTACAAAAGATTGTAAAACCCTTTTTAGTCAAGGACCGAAGGACAATGCCTTAGTTTGGATCCTCTAGAAAGTAACCCAGGGAACAGGGCATGGGTGCAGGTAGTTTGTTTGAGATATCTCCCAAGATATACAAGATGGGGAGTGGGATGAGTAATTCAGGGGAGAGAAGGGAAGAGAGAAGAGTCTATTAAGAGCTGGGTACCGCTGTGGCTGAATCCTACTGGGGACCTTTTAAAGAATCATGCAAAACCGACTTATAAATTTTCTTTTTAAAAATATTTTATTTTATTTTAAGTTCCGGGATACATTTGCAGGACCTGCAGGTTTGTTACATAGGTAAGCCTATGCCATGGTGGTTTGCTGAACCTATAAACCCATCACCTGCGTATTAAGCCCTACATGCATTAGCTATTTATCCTGATGCTTTCCCTCCCCCTGCCCCGTCCAGAGGCCACAGTGTGTGTTGTTCCCTTCCCCATGTTCATGTGTTCTCATTGTTCAGCTCCCATTTACAAGTGAGAACATGTGGTATTTAGTTTTGTTCCTGCGTTACTTTGCTGAGGATAATGGCTTCCGGCTTCATCCATGTCCCTGCAAAGGATGTGATCTCATTTCTTTTTATGGCTGCATAGTATTCCATGGTATATATGTACCAGATTTTCTTTATGCAGCCTATCGTTGATGGACATTTGGGTTGATTCTATGTTTTCGCTATTGTAAATAGTGCTGCAGTGAATGTATCAGGCATGTATCTTTATAAAAGAATGATTTATATTCCTTTGAATGTATACCCAGTAATGGGATTGCTGGGTCAAATGGTATTTCTGGTTCTAGATCTTTCAGGAATTGGCACACTGTCTTCCACAATGGTTGAACTAATTTCCATTCCCACCAACAGTGTAAAAGCATTCATGTTTCTCCACAGCTTTACCAGCATCTGTTGTTTCTTGACTTTTTAATAATCACCATTCTGACTGGCATGGCGTAAACCCGGGAAGCGGAGCTAGCAGTGAGCTGAGATCCGGCCACTGCGCTCCAGCCTGGGCTGCGACAGAGCGAGACTCCATCTCAAAAAAAAAAAAAAAAAAAAAAAAAAAAAAGAAAGAAAAAAGAAAAATAAAACATAAGAATAGACATGTCAGGAGAAGTGTGAAATTAGAAAGAAGGAAGAGAGCTAGCATACTCTTAACCTCCAAACTCCCCCTGGGAAATGGGAGACTCTGGAGTTAAACCTCCCCTTCTGCTAAGGGAGCCTGGAAAGCACAAGACAAGATATGCCCTCTTTCCCTGGTAGACCAGAAAGCCTCAGATTGCTGAGGATCAGGAGCCGCCTATCAAGGCCCCCTTCCCCCAGGTAGCCCCACTGATGGCCTCAGGGATCTGGTGTTCCTGATGGGGGAGTCTGGCTGGCTTGTCTCCATGACTGTCTCTTGGAGTGCTGGGGCACATCAGGGCAGGCAAAGCGCAGAGGTAGGAGCTGCTGAGCAGCGTTTCTTAGTTTTGGTGCCATCAACCAGGCTAGTACTTCCTAAAATGGGACTCTCAGGACTTCTGCCAATCCTGGTACCATTCTTCCTTCTGGGGGATGTCCAGAAACCTGGGCACGCTGAAGGGATCTTTGGCAGTAAGTACTGGGGACTCAGTCCTTGAAATGGAGAAAGGAAACTTGGTGGCGAGGAAGGAACAAAGAAAAATTTTGCAGTTGAGAAATTATTTTCTCCACCTCTGCCTGGAATTTCGGGTGGGAAAGAGGGAAGCTATTTGGAGTCTTTTGGTAAGAGACTCCCTTGGTGAATATAGGCATCCGAATCTGTGGCAACTGACTCCTTGTTGCCATTTCAAAAAGTTCTTCCTGGAGGTGCCTGGACCTAGAGCTCATGAAATGAACTGAGAAAGAGTAGTAAGCCCAAGGAAGTCTCCCATAAGAAAAACAGCCTGCTCCCCACAGCACTACCTGTGTCAGCTTCCAAATGTTCTCATTGCCGCCCCCACACCCACACCTACAGAGGATCCTAGCCCTTGGGGTAAAGAATGGACTCCAGAAGTCCCTTGGAATGCTGAAGTGTGAAGACTCACAATTAGCAGCTAACTGTACTGAGCACTGAAAATTAGTGGTTGAAAGTGAGCACTCAGGAGCCACACATTGTAGGTTCAAATCCTGGCTCCATCCCTGAGTAGCTGTGTGACCTTGGGCAAATTCACATAACCTCCTTGTGCTTCCAATTCTTCTGTTTATAAAATGTGAATATTAAGAGTGCTTACCCATAGATACGTAATGAGGATTAAGGAGAAAAGGCAGCTCACAGTCAGTGCTTCATCCGTATGAGTTACGTCATGTTGCCCCAGGAAGTTTGACGATGGCTTGTCAAACCGTGTTGCGTTAGTCTTCAAAGCAACCCTATGGGCAAATGAGGAAATCAAGACTCAGAAGTGCCTGGCACACCAAGGGTGGCCCAGAATTCAAAAGCCAAGCTATCTGATGCCAGAAATGTTGATCTCAATCATCGAGAGCCACAGCGCCTCCTGGGGGAGCAACCAAGCACAGCAAGGCTGAGTGACCAGAATAGTCTTAGAGGAGTGCGTCTTTCTCCCAGGAACCTCGTAGATGGTGTGGATAGAGGGTAGGGGTTGGTTTAGGGATTCGATGGTGAGTTGTTACGGGGTTGGGGATGTGGGCAGTGTTGGGAAATTCCTGAGCTACCTGAGGGCCACTACCTTTTGGGGACAGGTGAAGTGGAAACAAGGTTCTTTAACTCTGCAGGGGTGCCCTGGGCTTGGAGAGGGGGAGCACTGGCTCCTTTAAGGCCTCGAGGGAATATATCTTCCCTTGCCTTAGAGCCGTGTCCCAAAATCAAAGTAGAATGCGAAGTGGAAGAAATAGACCACTGTACCAAACACAGAGATTGCCCAGAAAACATGAAGCGCTGCCTGTTCAGCTGTGGAAAGAAATGTTTAGACCTCAGACAAGGTAACTCAGATGCTTCCTAAATTTCCCAGTGCCGTCACCTCCTATCTCCACCTGCACTGTACTAACTCTGTCTCCTGGTTCACTGATGGTTAGTTTCTGACCTACAGTTTAGGTACATCTTCTACTTGACACAAATCTGTCAGTCCTGGACTTGGGAGACACGGATTTTATTTCATTTCTTCCTCTATTTTGGTATGTGATATGAACAATGTAGTTTTCCTTTCTGGATCTCAGTTTCCCTTTCCATAAGACAGGTGTTGATATTGGACCACATGGTCTCTTGGCTACTCTTCAGTGATTCTTGAGATGCCAAGTAGTCACCGAAGTCTCATCAAATGCCAACATTGTGTCAGGTTATGTGATAGCTATAAGAGACAGGTATATAATCTGTATGTCCTGGCTTTTTTCTCCAGGCCTCTCTGTCTATATAAATCCAGGATGCCTTCCCTGACCACCTTAGACCACCTACACTCTTTCTTCTCTGCTCATATTATTGAGCTGTAAAGAAGACCATCAAGGACTATTCATTCATTCTATTCATTCAACAAATATTGATTGGTGCCCCTGACAGCCATGCTGGGTTCCACTTGCTCATTGTGGCCAGGAAGGTCAGAAAAGGTTTTTCTGGGAAAGATATCCATGATTTAAGATCTGAAAGATGAGTACTTAGACCAAAAATGGGAAGAAATAGCCTTTCAGGCACAGGTAACAGCATGTACAAAGGCTCTGTGGCAGGAGGCAGCATGTTCAGGCCTAGAAAGGCTGGAAAGCAGAGAGTGAGCAAGAGACAAGAAAGAGGAAGCTGGTAGTGTATATTCAGGGCAACTTGAATCTGTACTCCCAAGTGGCCATCCTCAAGTTTCGGGCTCAAATAAACGCCCTACTTAATCATATTTTCTGAATCTTGTTACTTTAGGTTGGCATATTTTTCAAGACAATAACTAGGTTTTCAGTGCTTTGACAAAACCTCAAATGTGTGGCCTTCCAACCAGGCATCCGTGGTTTCATATTGTTCAAGTATTTGTTGCATCCCTATGGATTGCAGCTCTCTGTAAGTTCGCTGTTGCTGGACCAAGAAATAAGGCATACACAGATTTCTACAGAAATTGTAATTCTATAAGAGATTTTCAGGAGATGGGGAAGGCTGGTATCTTTCAGAGTGCAAAGTGATTTTGGAATTGAAATGATTTCTTTGGGTTAAAGTTTGCCACTGACTTGTGTTCCTGAAACATGAAGCATGAATATGTGAGCTGACAAATAGTCTCTCTTGATAAATAAACAAGTAACAAATTTTAAAAAGAGAGAAAGATGAAGCTGGGCTAGATGGGGGAAGGAGAGCTGGTAAGAGATCTGGTCTTGATCCTAACAGCAATGGATTAACCTATGTTCAAATCCCTTACCATCTGTGTAGTCATAGGAAAGTTATTTAGCCTCTCTAAACCTTAGTTTCCTCATCTGCATAATGAGAACAATAAGAGGACCTACTTTACAATATTAAATGTTAGTAGATGTCAACTACTAAGAATAGTGCCTGATACTAATCAGTGCTATAATTGTTGTTTTGTCATGCTTCAGACTATGAGGTTCTAAAGAACTCTATTTGTACCTCATAGCACTATGGGCAAAATAATTGCTCAATAAATGCTTAAGATCAGGGTAGATTTGAGTTTCGGGGTTTTTTTTTCTGTGACTACTCCTGAAGCATCCTCTCTATGCCAAATTACCTGCTAGAAACTGCTGTATCAAGATGGCATAAGATGCAACTCCCTCTCAAAAATCTCACATTCTCATGGAGGAATCAGAAAATGTGAACAAGAAAGTACATGGAAATGATAAATGTGTGTGCAAGATTGAGAGGCAACAAAGAAAAGCAAGGAGTAAAGAATGAATCCAGGAAAGACTGCATAAAAGAGTCGATGTCTGGGAAGGGTTTTGAAGAATGAACAAGAGTGTACTTAGCAAGAGAGGTCTGGATATGTCAGGCATGTGCAAAGGCACGGGGTGTGTAAGAACATGCTATTTTTAGAGCATAAGTGTGGGAAGTTGGGTGTTGGGGCAGCATAAGAAATAAAGTTGGAGAGGAGGAGGAGAAAATGGATTCTGAAGTCTCTCTGGGTTTGGTAGAACTTTATCCTGTGCCCAGCAGATCTGCCATTCTGGAAACCAATGTCGAGCAGATTGCAGAAGTCTTGGAGATCAGCTGGTGGCCTTTCATGGAAGTCCTTGCAAAAGATAATGATGCTCGAATTAAGAAAGCGGTAGAAAGGAAATAAAGGAGAGCTATTTAGGAGGCAAAATCAGCCAGATTTAGTGTTCAGATGTTGGGGAGGCAAGGAAAAAGAAGCCATGTGATGTCACAGCTGTTCCTTCCAACAGCCCTATTAGGCAAGCACGTTGGGACTTTGCATTCTCATCTTACAGATGAGGAAGTCAAGGACCAGAGAGGTAAAATGAGTGGTCAAGGTTCACACTGAATTGAGAGCAGAGCCCTGAGCCAAATTTGCTTCTCAGCGGAGACAAAGAGAGCGGTGGTCAGAGAAAGGGAGAGATGGACATTCTCCAGGGAGACAGGCACCCAAACAGCTCTGTTCTGTGATCTCCCTGCAGGTATATGCAGTATGCCACAGGAGGCTGGCCCCTGCCTGGCCTCCATACTACGTTGGTGGTACAATAAAAAAACAAAACAAAACAAAAAACCCTAAGATCTGCTCCAAATTCATCTATGGCCGTTGCCAGGGGAACAATAACAACTTCCAAACTGAAGCTATCTGCCTGGTCAACTGCAAAAAATACCGTAAGTCCCGGAGGTTCCAGTCTCCTGTGCTCACCAAGGCCACACTGGGAGGTCTGGGTGTTGGCTGGTCTATTCCAAGACCTAGGTGGGCCTGGGGATGACAAAACCAGCTCTAATGCAGAAGTATAAGTAGAAAGATATTTTGGGAAAGAGGGTGGGAAGGGAGGGATTAGTCAAAGGGATATTGGCAAGTACGAGGTGAGTAGTGGGTGTAGAGAGAAAACAGAAGTGGTGGAGTATCCCAGACCAGGTCAGATGGAAGCCCAGTAAACCCAGCCCAGCCCTGGGCACCATTCATCAGTCAATCATTATAGGCCTTTACTTCTCACTAAACCTTGTTGTTACTTCTCTTCCTTTTAAAGGTTATTTCTAACCAGGGCAACCACATACTTTATGGGCCAAACCAAATCACTTTTGAAAGTGTCTGAAGGTGAGGTGACATTAATTATTACAACAGGCATAAACTGAGACTCTACTGGACAAGTCAGAACCCATGATCATTCTAGGATCCCCCAAACTCACCTTATTTCCGTTCCTGCCCAAAGATGTAAAAATGATCCCACCTCCTTTTTCCCATTAGGTGAAAGATTTGGTTCCTAATGTGGTCAGGGTCCAAGCGTCTCACCCTTTATTCTTCTACCTCACAGGTTAGCCTTACTTTATACCGTAAGGAGGAGTCTGAATAACCTCCAGGATTTGGATCATAATCCAGGCCTCTCTCCACGTGTGCCTGATTGATGCTCCAAATTGGCTTCCACGGGCCAAACCTTGGCTGTTGTAGAAACTGAACTCCAGGAATTGCTTACACCCTTTCTTCCAGTGTAGCATATCTTCAAACACAATGCTCTTTCCCTTGACCACTTCTCAGTATGAAACTCTATGTCTTCAACTTTCAGAACCCCCATTTATTCGTGTGAAGGCTTCAGTTACCTTAATAAAGCGCTCTGTGGGGTCTGATTTCTCTGAGGCTGAATAATTCACATCTGCAATATGCTGATATTGACATATACTCACATCTCTCTATATGTAATTTTCAGAGAACAAGAAGCCATTGCAAGCCGGGCGAGATGGCGGGCGCCCAGCTACTCGGAGGCTGAGGCAGGAGAACCACGTGAACCCAGGAGGCGGAGCTTGCAGTGAGCTGAGATCCGGCCACTGCACTCCAGCCTGGGCCACAGAGTGAGACTGTGTCTCAAAAAAGAAAAAAAAAAGAAGCCATTGTATCTTCTGGTGACACCAGAAAAGGGAGAGAGTATGAAAATCCTGCAAATTGAGAACACTAGTGACATTGTTACTTTAGTAAAATTGTCGTTAAGATGCTGAAGAATGGAGCCAGTGCAGATCCAGATTTTGTATGGTCTAAACCTGATAAATCAGGAGCTCCTTTAGAAACCAAGCACAGGCCAGGCACGGTGGCTCACGCCTGTAATCCCAGCACTTTAGGAGGCCGAGGCGGGCAGATCTCCTGAGGTCGGGAGTTCAAGACCAGCCTGACCAACATGGAGAAACCCCATCTCTACTAAAAATACAAAATTAGCCAGGCGTGGTGGTGCATGCCTGTAATCTCAGCTACTCGGGAGGCTGAGGCAGGAGAATTGTTTGAACCCAGGAGGCAAAAGTTGCAGTGAGCTGAGATTGCACCATTGCACTCCAGCCTGGGCAATAAGAACGAAACTCCATCTCGAAAAAAAAAAAAAAAAGAAAAAGTAAAAGAAAGAAAGAAACCAAGTGCAAATAAGTACAAAAGAGAATATGATTTCAAATGAGGAGGGAAACTGCAACCAACTGCAAATTTTTGAAGGCTGACAAACACTAAAAATTACACAAAACCCATATAAATTAATAATTCATTGTTTACATTTATGACATCAATTCTGTAAAGCACTGCTTCCGTGGAGAGAATGGAAAGATAACTCTTTTATTTAACATGGTGATCAAAATATGATATTTTAATTTTTATTATAGGTGAATTGGATAAAACATATACCCGAATGCTTGCAGCCGTACTTGATGTCTGTAGTTCTGTTACAGGTTTGTGTCCTAGAAACACAGGAATTTTAATAAATTATCTTTTGTACAATTCCATTAAAAAAAGAAAAAATGCATGGTACATTTAAAATTACACATATTGAATTATCAAGTGTATGCTTACTAGAAAAGAACTTCTGAACAGGCTTCTATAAGAGCTGATTTTTTTTTCCCACTGAAAATGTGATGTATCTGGCTGGGCTCAGTGGTTCATGCCTGTAATCCCAGCACTTTGGGAGGCCGAGGTGGGCAGATCACCTGATGTCAGGAGTTCAAGACCAGACTGGACAACATGGTGAAACCCCATCTCTACTAAAAATACAAGAAATTAGCCAGGTGTGGTGATGCGCACTTGTAGTCCCAGTTACTCAGGAGGCTGAGGCAGGAGAATTGCTTGAACCTGGGAGGTGGAGGTTACAGTAAGCCGAGATGGCACCATTGCACTGCATCCTGGGTGGCAGAGTGAGGCTCCATCTCAAAAAAAAAAAAAAAAAAAAAAAAAAATTGATGTATCTGTTATTTGAAAGAATGCTCCACAGGCTTATTTTCCTGGCTCCGTACCTTTCAAAACTTGTTTCTCCTCTACTACCCACAACCTTCTTGGGCTAAGAACGTTCATTTTACAGTGCAACCTCTAGTCCCATAACTTAGTGTCATAACGTCAAGGGAATTGGCCCAGTAGACAACGGGAGTATTATTTGCAGCTGCTCCTCCACCAGGACAGCTAGCAGCAACTTCCTACACATAGAAATGACAGCAAACGGCCTAAATATATTCTACTAACTCCAAAATAAATATATCCCCAACTCAACTTCCTTTTAATTTGCATGTCTAAGATGCTTGCAATTGCCCCAACACCACCTAACCCAGGAGAAGTGTGAAAGGTCAGAGTGGAAAGGGAAGGTGGATTGGCTGATTATGGTTAGAATATCTTACTTTTGTAGATATTACAGGTCATCTGACCATGTAACATATAGCTAGAAGCACTTCCAGAATCGCTCAAGCAAGGACCTTGAGGCTTGGCTCCATCAGCCTCATGGTAAGTCCATCTCTGAAAGGGCCCATGGACTCGTTTTCTGGAGTTGTAGCAAAGGAGACAGTTCCATAGCATGGTGCAGAAATTCTCCAAAATTGAAAATAGCTGGAGAGAGGCATGAAAGGGAGAGATGAAGGAAAGCAGAGTAGAGTTAAAGAAGAAGGGAGAAGAAAGGGGTGAAGGAGGAAAATTGTGTGATGGTGTGACTGTTTTAAAGCAAGGTCCTACAATTCTTTCACTTGCCTTCCACCCAGAAGTGGGATCTATGTCCCCTCCTTTTGAATCTGAGAAAACTCTGTGACTCTTTGACCAAGAGAATAAAGCAAACATGATGCTATGTGACCTTCAAGGCTAGGCTAGAAAAAGTGCAAGTCCCACTTGATCCTCTTAGGTAGCTTGTTTGGGGGCAGTGGGAAGCTGCCATGTAAGATGTCCAACTACTCTGAGAGAAGCCCATACTAGAGAGACCCATGTGGGTGCTGTGATCAGCGGGCCCAGGTAAGCTCTGACTGATAGCCAGCATCAATTGCAGCCATGCAAATGAGCTGCTCAACCCAATAGAGCCTTCAGATGGCTGCAGCTCCAGCAGACGTCTGACTGCAACCATGGGAAAGACCCTATAAAAGAACCACCAAGCAGATTGCTTCCCAGATGGCTGACCCACAATATGAAATGGTTGCTTTAAAATGCTAAGTTTTAAGAAAATTTATTCACAAAATAGGTGATCAAAGATAGAAAGGGGCTAGCTGCAGTGGCTCACAGCTGTAATTCCAACCACTTTGGGAGTCCAAGGCAGGCAGATCACTTGAAGTCAGAAGTTCAAGACCAGCCTGGCCAAAACGGCAAAACTCCATCTCTACTAAAAATACAAAAATTAGCCAGGCATAGTGGCGGGCATCTGTAATACCACCTACTTGGGAGGCTGGGGCAGGAGAATCTCTTCAGCCCAGGAGGCAGAGGTTGCAGTGAGCTGAGATTGTGCCACTGCACTCCAGAGCGAGACTTGGTCTCAAAGAAAAAAAGATGAAAAGGGAGTAGAAGGAAGGATAGGGGAGAGAAAGAAGAAAGAGATGCCCAGAGGACTGGGCAAGACAAGAGGATGCCAGGCTTAAGAAGGGAATCTCACAGCAGGCAACTTGTCATCACAGCACACCAAGACTTGCTATCTCTTGTCAAATAAGTTTCTTGTTTAATATAACTTGAATCAAGGGGCTCTAAAGAGGCTGGAATTCACTTGTTGTTGATGCTGTTGCCATCTCTACTCCCCTCTCTTTAGAAAGGGCTGGTTAAGCTGATTGTAGAAAACTCTAAGGGCGCTGCAAAAAAAGGTTAGAATTAATAAACAAATTTATTAAAGTTATAGGATACAAAATCAACATACGAAAATCAATGGCAATTTTATACACCAAGAACAATCTCATTTCCATTAGCAGCAGCAACAACAAAACACTTAGTAATTAACTCAACCAAAGAAGTGAAAAACTTATGCATTGACAATTATAAAACATCGATGAAGAAAATTTAAAAAACACAAATAAATGGAAAGAAATCTCAGGCTCATAGATTAGAAGAATTAATATTGTCAAAATGTCCACACTACCCAAAGCAACCTACAGAGCACATGCAATTTCTGCCAAAATGCCAATGGCATTTTTTACAAAAACATAAAAAGCAATGCTAAAATTCATATGGAACCACAAAAGACCCCAAATTGCCAAAGGAATTTTGAAAAAGAACAGAGCTTTAAGCATCACATTTCCTGATATCAAATTACACTGCAAAGCTAGAGTAATCAGAACAGTGTTGTACTGGCACAAAAACAGAAAAGCAGATATACAGGCCAACGGAACAGAATAAAGAACCCAGAACTAAGCCCATCCATTTGTGGTCAATTGATCTTTGACGAGGGTGTCAAAAACACACAATAGGCAACAGAAGATCTCTTTAACAAATGGTGCTGGGAAAACTAGATATCCATATGCAAAAGAATGAAATTGGATACCTATCCAATACCATATACAAAAATCAACTTAAAATAGATTAAAGTCTTAAACGTAAGACCTGAAACTAAAATTCTTTAAAAAGTCTTGAAGAGACATCTGCATTTCCAAGTTCATTGAAGCATTATTCATAATAACAAAGATATGAAAAAAACCCAAATGTACATCAGCAGATAATGAATTAAAAACTGTGGTGTGTGTATGCACACACACATACATGTTATACACATATATACAATGTATATATACATTATACAATATTTGTATACATTATGTGAGTACACACATACAATAGAATAGTATTCATCCTTTAAAAAGCAGGAAATCCCATCATTTGCCACAACACAGATGAATCCAAAGGACATCATGCTAAGTGAATTAAGCTGGACACAAAAAGACAAATATTGTCTGATCTTACTTATATGTGGAATCTAAGATAGCCAAACTTGGGCTAGGAGTGATGACTCACGCCTGTAATCCCAGCACTTTGGGAGGCTGAGGCAGGAGGATTGCTTGACGCCAGAAGTTCAAGGCTGCACCCTGGGTGACAGAATGGGATCCTGTCAAATAAATAAATAAATAAATAAATTTAAAAAATAGTCAAACTCATAGAAGCAGTGAGTAGAATGGTAATTACAAGGAGGATGGGGTGTTGCGGGGGGGAAGGAGAAAAATGAGAAAATATTGGTCAAAGAGTACAAAGTTTCCATTTCAGTTATGCAAGATAAATTAATTCTGGAACCTAACGTACAGTATGGTGACCGCAACTAACAATACTGTATTTCATACCCAAAATTTGCTAAGAGGGTGGATCTTAAGTGTTCTCATCACACAAGAAAAGGTTAACTATGTAAGATGGAGTATATGTTAATTTGCTTGAGTGTGGTGATCAT